ATATGCGCACATGTGTATTATATAATGATCTCATATACTATATTGTATTTTATTATATAATATTATAGGATTGTTGTTATTGTAGTAACAGTAGAGTATAATAGTTGTCTTCTTTTTCTCGCAGTTGATCTTCTGCAGATGTTAGAGATGAATGTGACGATCGCCTTCCCAGCAGCCCCTCTGCTCACCGTCATTCTCGCTCTAGTCGGTAAGCGGCACGGCGCCCCCTGGCGCGTGAACTGTGGCTCTGTATGTTCGCTGTGATTCATCTCTGAACCTCTCGGCTCGGCGGCCCTTCACGGTTTTTATCCGCGGCCCGAATTCTGGTCGTGAGTTTGATAGCTGTCCATGCCCGGGGGGTGTCTAGTATCTACCCATGCGCGATAAACGAAAGGTCAGGCAGGCACGTGGGAGACCCTCAGGGAACCTACTTAAAATGGCTTCAGTTGGCATCCCCGCGTAGGGTTGCCGTGCCGACGGGTTAGGCGTCAGACTAGTTAGTATGTGTGATGTGCCAGAGATAACTGTTCCCACTGTGTTCACTGTTTGGTCTCTGTAGGTTGTTCATTACATTGTTCTTACTGTGTATGATGTTCTTATTATGTATGTTGTTCTTACTATATAGTGCAGCTTATAATGGTTGTTCATTGTGCAACTAATGATGGTTGTTCACTGTGCAACTAATGATGGTTGTTCACTGTGTAGTTAATAATTGTTGGTTCTTCGCTGTGTAGCTAAGGATGATTGTTCAGTGAATTGTTGTGTGTTGTTCGCTGTGCAGGCATGGAAGCGATCATGTCTGAGTTCTTCAACGACACGACGACAGCGTTCTACATCATTCTCATCGTGTGGGTCGCCGACCAGTACGACGCCATCTGCTGCCACACACCCATCAGCAAGCGCCACTGGCTAAAGTACGTAGATGTAGGGCGGGTGGTACGCACCGCACGCACGCACGCGTGCACACGCACACACGCACGCACGTTTGCAGGCAGGCAGGCAGGCACGCACGCACACATACACACACACGTACGAACGCACGCACGCACGCACGCACACACACACACATCACGTACACTCATACGCGCACAGACACACGCAGACATGCACGCACGCACGCACGCACGCACGCGTACACTCATACGCGCACAGACACACGCAGACATGCACGCACGCACGCACGCACGCACGCGTACACACATACCCAAGTACACACAACTATCAAGTATACAGTCTTCGATAGGTACGTGTATGTTTGCTGCTGCGTCGCCGCGTGTACGCGAGTGCACTCGTGCCAGTGTGTGCGTGCACGCGTGCGCGTGTGCGTGTTAGTGTGTGCGTGTGTGTGTGCTGTGCTGTGCGTGCGTGCGTGCGTGCGTGCGTGCGTGAGTGCGTGCTTACATGTGTCGATGTGTTGTTGTCGCGTGTGCGTGTGTGCGTGCGTGCGTGTGCGTGTGTGTACGTACGTATGCCACAAGCTAGAGAGACGTCAGGCGCACATGTGTATACGTCGTGTTACTGTATATGTGCGCTATCTTGCCTCGCTCTCTACCACTACCCCACTACAACCGTAATATGTGTAGCTGGGATTTACAAGTGCATTAATGTCGATAAAGCAGTTGGTTACTTTTAATTGAAGATTAAATAATCCGACCGCTTGTTTAATAGATGGGCTCCGGGCGCCGCGCCCGTAGCCACTCAAGCCGCGCCGACAACGAGCGCGAGCCACTCTATATACTTAATGCAAATTGGAGGCTTATGGACGTAAGGCAGTTAAACAGAGCGGCAGGAAATTACTGCCCCAACCTCCCAGCGCCTAAAACAACGTGCTGCTTGACTCAGTAATTAATTATTACCCCGGGCAGATGTTAGATGAAGTTGCCACTGTTACTTCTACTGCTCGTGCCGCATCTGCCATTGCTGTTGTGCTGCTGCTGCTGCTGCTGTTGCGGCTGCTGCTGCTGCTGCTGCTGCTGCTGTTGTGCTGTTGCTGCTGCTGCTGCTGCTGTTGCTGCTGCTGCTTCTGCTGCTGCTACTGCTGCTGTTGTGCTGTTGCTGCTGCTGCTGCTGCTGCTGGTGTGCTGCCGCTGCTGCTACTGCTGCCGCTTCTGCTGCTGCTGCTTCTATTGCTACTGCTGCTGCTGCTGCTGCTGCTACTGCTGCTGCTGCTACCGCCGCCGCTGCCGTCGCCGCTGCTGCTGCTGCTGCTGCTGCTGCCGCGTGTGAGACTTATAGTTGCAGTGAACACGATACGCTATCACTAAACGGCACCTGGTTCAACGCCTTACGGCGATGCACGCACGAGTGGATGCACTAAGCTGCACATGGTTCAACGTCTTACGACGATGCACGCACGAGTGGATGCACTAAGCTGCACATGGTTCAACGCCTTACGACGATGCACGCACGAGTGGATGCACTAGATGCCCACACACTTTTGGCTTCGCGCTCACAGACCGTACTGGCTGGCGCAGAAACGGCAGGCTCAACTTGCGTGACGCCCAACCGCGCACACACACACACACACACAACACACACACACACACACAACACACACACACGCCACGCACGCCACGCCGCACGCACGCACGCACGGCACGCGCACGCACGCACGCCACGCACGCACACGCCACGCACGCAGCACGCACGCACACACACACACACCGCACACACACACACACACACTGCACACACATAACACATATACACGCCGACAACATAAACACACATATACGCGCACGTACCATATAATAGATGGAAGCGTGCTCTAACAATGGAAACAATGCGCTCGACTATACGCACCAGCGGAGCAGCATGAGGCCGACCAGAGAAACCTAGAGATTAACACGCAGGCAAGATAGTTGCAGGATGCCGGGAAGCAGGAGGAGGAGGAGGAGGAGAGAGGGAGGAGGAGCGAGGAGGGCAGGAGGAGGAGGAGGAGAGGAGCAGGAAAGAGGAGGAGGAAAGCGAGGCGGAAGGAGCAGGTGAGGATGAGGAGGCAGGGGAGGAGGGGAGGAAGAGAGAGGATGGTAGAAGGATGGTAAGAGGAGCTGAAGCAGCAGCCAGAATAAGGGCGGGAGGGGAAAGGAGGGAGCAGGAGGCAGGAGGAGAAGGAGGGGAGGAAGAGTAGGTAAGAGGCGGGAGAATGAGTGGCGGAGAAGAAGTACACAGAGCAGAGGAGGAGTTCGAAGAAGAAGAGAACGAGGAGCGGAGGGAGGTCAGAAACGCGCGCGAGAGCAGCATGGGAGGAAGGAGAGGGGAGGAGGACAGACACAATCGTGGCACATGTAGAACAGATAAGTAATAGCGTATTAGTCGCAAGCTGGGCGTTATCAGCGCAAGGCCGTGTTGCGCGATGACAAGGTAAAACACATTAGTGTCGCGCGCGCGCTGGGATAAGACAGCGGATGTCGCGTGTCTGGTCGCACGGAAAGAAGCTGCCTATGCTGGCTGCTCACTGCTTAGTACTGCCTGCTATTGCTTGCTGCTTGATGCATACTACTGCTGCTACTGCTGCTGTGGTGGCTCGCTGACTGCTGGATACTACTTACTGTTCTACTAGTACTTACTGCTGCTGCTGCTTCTATAGTCTACTGCTGCTGCTGCTACTGCTGCTGCCTGCCTCTTACGTTACTAATACTTACTGCCCTTACTGCTGCTGCTGCCATGCCTGCTGCTGCTGCCTGCTGCTACTGCTGCTTTACTGCTTCAACTGCCTGCTGACTGCTGCTGCCTTTGTGGTGCTGCTGTGCTGCTGCTGGTACTGCTGCTGCTTGCTGCTATGCTGCTGCTGCTGCTGCTGCTGCCTGCCTACTGCTGCTCTGCTGCTACTGCTGCTACTGCTGTGCCTACTGTCTGCTGCTGCTTGCTTGCTGCTGCTGCTTCTGCTAGTGCGTGCTGCTGCTGCTATTCGTAGGTGGTGGTGCTGCTGCTATTTTGTGGTTGGGGGTGGTTGCTGCTGCTAGCTGCTAGTAGGTTTGGTCTGCTGCTGTGCTGCTGCTGCCGGGGCGTGCGGGAATTGCGGCTGGGAGGGAGGGAGGAGGAGGGCAGGAGGAGGAGGGGGAAGGAGGAGGAGGAGCGCGCAGCATGCATCCACGTCACGCGGCGGTTCACGGCAATCTATCACCGACATTGTCATGCTTGCCTTCCGACGCGCGGCCCACAGTAGTCTGCCGCCATCGCCGCACGTCCGCGCGCTTACTGCTCGCTCAACCAGCGCTAGTCCCGCGCCGGCGTCGAGCCGCGGCAGTCTTAGTGCCTCACTCGATTTGTCAGCGTGCGCTGAAGCGGTCGCAGTTGTTGTCATCGGCGTTGACAGCAACCTTGGTAGACGCTGTCACCAGCCCTGCGTGAAATTGCCGTAAAAGTCGTCTGGTTCCGTAAAAATCGAGATACGTTGGGAAAAAAAATTCGCGAAATGTCACTAGTGGTGTGAAAACCGACATTGGCGCGTCGACAGTGTCAAATGTTGTCATCAACTTTATCACACCGGTTGGCGACGGTCGTCATCAATTTTTTCACGCGCATTGTCAACATTTGTTACAAGTTTTGTCACGCGTTTCGTCAATTGTCATTGAATTTGTTTCCCATTTTTGCAGTACGAGGTATTATAGATATTGTCACGCGCACTTTGTTAGGCGTGCACTTTGTACCAGCCACTGTAGGCAGCACTCGTACGATGCTGGAAAGGACAGCAGATGTGTGTGTGTGTGTGTGTATGTGTGTGTGTGTGTGTGTGCGTGTGTGTGTGTGTGTGTGTGTGTGTGCTGTGTGTGTGTGTGTGTGTGTGTGTGTGTGTGTGTGTGCTGTTGCGTGCGTGCGTGCGTGCGTGCAGTGCGTGCGTGCGTGCGTGCGTGCGTGCGTGCGTGCGTGCGTGCGTGCCGTGCGTGTCGTGGCGCTGCGTGCGGCGTGCGTGCTCGTGCGTGCGTGCGTGCGTGCGGCCGCGTGGCGTGCGTGCGTGCGTGCGTTGCGTGCGTGCGTGGCGTGCGTGCGTGCGTGCCGTGCGTGCGTGCGTGGCGTGCGTTGCGTGCGTGCGTGCGTGCGTGCGTGCGTGCGTGCGTGCGTGCGTGCGTGCGTGCGTGCGTTGCGTGCGGTGCGCCGTGCGTGCGTGCGTCGTCGTGGCGGTGCGTGCGTGCGTGCCGTGCGTGCGTGCGTGCGTGCGTGCGTGCGGCGTGCGTGCGTGCGTGCGTGGCGTGCTTGCTGCAGTGCGTGCGTGCGTGCGTAGCGTGCGATGCGTTGGCGTGCGCTGCGTTGCGTCGTGTGGTTGCGTGCGTGCGTGCGTGCGTTGCGTGCGTGCGTCGCGTGCGTGCGTGCGTGCGTGCGTGCGTAGTGCGTGCGTGCCGTGCGTGTGTCGTGCGTGCGGTGCGTGCGTGGCGTGCGTGCGTGCGTGCGTGCGTGCGTGTGTGTTGCGCGCGCGCGGGTGTGTGTATGCTTGGTGTGTGTGTTGTATTTGTGCAGCTGAAGCGTGTGTGGTGTGGACCAGTGTGTGTGTTGTATTTGTGCATGTACGTGTGTTCGTGTGTGCTTGTGTGCGCGCGTGTGTGTGTGTGTTGTGTTTGTGCCATTGTACGTGTGTTTGTGTGTCGCGTCGTGTGTTGTGTTTGTGGCCATGTACGTGTGTTTTGTGTGTGCGTTCGTGTGGTTGTTTTCTGCATGTACGTGTGTTTTGGTTGCGTTCGTGTGTTGTGTTTGTGCATGTACGTGTGTTTGTGTGTGCGTTCGTGTGTTGTGTTTGTGCATGTACGTGTGTTTGTGTGTGCGTTCGTGTGTTGTGTTTGTGCATGTACGTGTGTTTGTGTGTGCGTTCCGTGTGTTGTTTTGTGCATGTACGGTGTTTGTGTTGTGCGTTCGGTCCTTGTGTTGTGCATGTAAGCGTGTGTTTGTGTGTGCGTCGTGTGTTGTTCTGTGTGGCATG